TAGCTGGGACTACAGGGACAGGCCAGTGCGTATAGCACATGTGTTTAATTTTTTTTTTTTTTTTCTGAGACAGACTCTCACTTTGTTGCCCTCAGTAGAGTGATGCAGCATCATAGCTCACAGCAACCTCAAACTCTTGGGGTCAAGTGATTCTCTTGCCTCCCAAAGTGCTAGATGCCTGCCACAACACCTGGCTATTTTTAGTGACAGGAATCGAGCTTTTGCTCAGGCTGGTCTCAAACTTGTGACCTCAGGCAATCCACCTGCCTCAGCCTCCCAAAGTGCTAAGATTACAGGAGTGAGCCATCTTGCCTGGCCACATGTATTTAATTTTTACACAGTCAACTACCTACTTTTTCCTTTGTGGTTACTGGCATAGAAGTTGTGCTTAGAATATCCTCCCTACCCAATTATTGTATAATGCTTATCTATGCTTTATTCCAATACTATATTTATTCTGACAATGTGTGTGTATAAAAAATTTTAAGTATATTAATATTGTGTTTTGGTAAAAGAAAAAATATATATTCATAGAAAATTATATATATGAGATGCAAATGATGATTATCTTTGGGTGGTAGTAATATGTGTGCCTTATTTTTCATATTTTCATGATGAACATAATTTCTTTTCTTCTTATTTTTTTTGAGACAGAATCTCATTTCAGGCTCGACACCCATAGCTCAGTGATTAGGGCGCCGGCCACATACACCAGGGCTGACAGGTTCAAACCCAGCCCAGTCCTGCTAAACAACAATGACAACTACAACAACAACAACAAAATAGCTGGGCATTGTGGCAGGTGCCTGTAGTCCCAGCTACTTGGGAGGCTGAGGCAAGACAATCACTTAAGCCCAAGAGTTTGAGGTTACTGTGAGTTGTGACGCCACAGCACTCTACCAAGGGTGACACAATGAGACTGTCTCAAAATAAATAAATAAAGAATCTCATTTCACTTTGTCACCCTCAGTAGAGTGCTGTGGCATCCTAGTTCACAGCAATCTCAAACTCTTAGGTTCAAGTGATTCTTGCTTCAGCCTCCTGAGTTAACTTGGGATTACAGGCACCTGCCACAATGCTCAGCTACTCAGATAGATTTTCTATTTTTGGTAGAGATGGGGTCTTGCTCTTGGTCAGGCTGGTCTCAACCATCTACCCACCCAGGCTTTCCAGAGTGCTAAGATTACAGGTGTGAGCCACCATGTCCAGCCAATGAACATAATTTCTAAAAAAAAATTTAAAGTATATTGGATTCTCATTATCAATAGAGAATCTTTTGGTTCTTAATGGGAGGGTAGTAACACCTCCACTCTTCACATCCTCCCCACCAAAACCAGAAGGGTAACACTGTGGGTTTCACAAGGCATACCCATATATTCAATATTGTATTCGTTTTTGGTTTGGGGGGGGGAACCCTAACAACATCATTTTATGATGCTACTAACAAAAGAACTTAAAATTTTGGCTAATGAAATATTTGTTTAAATACTGTCATATGACCAAAGGAAGTGAGAGCAGGGACTAGAATGGGTATTTTTATACTCCTGTTCAGAACAACATTATTCACAATAGCCAAAAGATGGAAGTAACCCAAGTAGCGATCCTCAGACAAATGAATAAACAAAATGTCAAAATGTGGTATATACATACAATGGGATATCATTTAGCCTTAAAAAGGAAATTTTGGCTCGGCGCCTGTGGCTCAAGCGGCTAAGGCGCCAGCCACATACACCTAAGGTGGCGGGTTCGAATCCCCAGCCCAGGCCCGCCAAACGATGGCTGCAACCAAAAAATGGCCGGGCGTTGTGGCGGGCACCTGTAGTCCCAGCTACTTGGGAGGCTGAGGCAGGAGACTCGCTTGAGCCCAGGAGTTGGAGGTTGCTGTGAGCTGTGATGCCATAGCACTCTACCCAGGGGGATAGCTTGAGGCTCCATCTCAAAAAAAAAAAAAAAAAAAAAGGAAATTTTGACATATGCTACAATATGGATGACTCTTGAGGACTTGATGCTAAGTGAAAGAAGTCAGTCACAAAAGGATAAACATTATATGGTTCCACCTAGATGAGTTTCCTAGAATAGTCATATTCGTAGAGACAGAAAATAGAATGGTGGTCGTCCGGGTTGTTGGGAGGGGGACAATGAGGAGGTGGTGTTTCTGGGGCACAGAGTATCAGTTGAGGAAGATGAAAAAGTTTTGGAGATGGATGGTGGTGATGGTTGCACAATAATGTGATTGTCCTTAATGCCACAAAACTATATACTTAAAAATTATTAAAATGGACAAGTGGGCGTCTCATGCCTATAATTTTAGCACTTTGGGAGGCCAAGGCAGGAGAATCTCTGAAGGCCAGGAGTTTAGGACCAACTTGAGCCAATAATGAGATCCTGTCTCTACAACATTTTTAAAAAAATTAGTCAGGCATGGTGGCACATGCCTGTAGTCCCAACTACTTGGGAGAGTGAGGCAGGAGGATCATTTGAGCTCAGGAGTTTGTAGGTGCAATGAGCTATGATGATGCCACTGCACTCTAGACTCTGGTCTGGGCAACAGAGTAAAACTTATCTGAAAAATAAAAATAATTAAAATGGTAAATTTAAGCTAGGAATGGTGGCTCATGCCTATAATCTTAGCACTTTGGGATGCTAAGGTGAGTGGATTGCTTGAGCCCTGGAGTTTGAGACCAGCCTGAGCAAGAGTGAGACCATGTCTCTACTAAAAAAATAGAAAAAACTAGTTGGGTGTTATGGCAGGCACTTGTAGTCCCAGCTACTTGGGAAGCTAAAGCAGGAGGACCACTTGAGCTCAGAAGTTTGAGGTTGCTGTGAGCTATGATGCCACAGCACCCTAGCCTGGGGCAACAAAGTGAGATTCTGTTTCAAAAAAAGGTAAATTTTATGTTATGTATTTTTTTACAAAAAACCCAAAATCTATGGCTTGGCGCCTGTAGCTCAGTGGTTAGGGGGCCAGCCACATGCACTGGGGATGGTGGGTTCAAACCCGCCCAGGGCCTGTTAAGCAACAATGACAGCAATAACAAAAAAATAGCTGGGTGTTGTGGCAGGTGCCTGTAATCCCAGCTACTGGGAGGCTGAGGCAAGAGACTTGCTTAAGCCCCAAGAGTTTGAGGTTGCTGTGAGCTGTGACCCCACAGCACTCTACCAAGGGCGACATAGTGAGACTCTGTCTCAAAAAAACAAAGAACAAAAAAACCTATGAGATAATGACCAAAATCTTTAGCATGAATGAGTGATGTATCACAATATGTCCAATGTATCTGTAAGCTCTCTTCCTATTCTACCATGTCTCCTCATTATTCCTTGAGGAAAAGGAAAACTTTATTCACTCTTGTATCCTAGCAACTAAAATCATACCTGATGGTGTAGGAGTATTGTTCTGACAGACTCCATGACTGCTTTAGCATCACTAAACATTTTGTTATTCCTCTAGTAATCAGCTACATACCTTCACAGTTCACTCTTGAATGACCACCCCCTCTTCTCCACTTAACTAACACCTATTAATTCTTTGTGATCCAGAAAAATCACCTGTTCTGTTGGGGCTTCCTCCAAAGAGATGATCATTTCCACCTTCATGCCTTCATAGCATTTTATACAAGAGTCTAACCTCTATTTAACACACATTACTTATTTACATGTGTTTTTCCTGACCACTCTGTGAAAAACTATCTGCTGTAGTGCAAAGCATGGCACGAAGAAAAAAACTTCCCTTAATGTTGCATGAGTAAGCTAATGAGCATCTGATTTTAACTGTCACAAATTCCAAGCTTGCTCCATTGCTCTCTGTGAATGTGAGTCCTCAGCTGTTATCTTGAAAACCTCAGGAATGGGCTCAGCGCCTGTGGCTCAAGCGGCCAAGGTGCCAGCCACATACACCTAAAGTGGCTGGTTCGAATCCAGCCCGCCTGCCAAACAACAATGACGGGCTGCAACCAAAAAATAGCCAGGCGTTGTGGGAGGCGCCTGTGGTCCCAGCTACTTGGGAGGCAGAGGCAGAAGACTCGCTTGAGCCCAGGAGTTGGAGGTTGTTGTGAGCTGTGATGCCACAGCACTCTACCCAGGGGGACAGCTTGAGGCTCTGTCT